AAGATTCTGCAAAATAATTTATTACCGAAAAATATTATATTTTTATTTGTATCTTCATAATTTTGTGCAAAATACACTTGTTGTTTTTAAAGCTAAATTATTTTTGTCAACAAGTTTTTTTCTCCCAAGTTTTTCGTAGGCCCCTGAATTTCGTAGGCCCTAGGCACGTGCCTAGTGTGCCTATAGGTTAATCCGGCCCTGATCACTGGTATTTAGCCTTTAATCACCTTAATGGAAGGCAGTGCTTCATATTTGGCCGCTGTGATTCATGCATACTATTTTATTTTATAACCAGCATGGAACAGCCGACACATTTTTGAGTTTACGGCTATCATTGTTTGATTCCGTAATTTTGCAATTTTTAACCCAACCCAGAAGACAAAGGAACACACATTTCAGGAAACAAAAATTTAAAATTTAACCAAATACTCAAAGGAGTCGAAAATAAAAACGAAATTTCACATTAAAAGTTCTTGGTGCAAAAAGTAAAAATATTAAATTTTATGAATAAGTTTTTGCAGTTGGTAACCTTCACTGTATGAATAATTGATGAACTAGTTAGAATTTATTTCTAAGGTTTTTCCACTAAAAGGATCCAGAATATCCACACAAAAAATTATCACTGGCAGTAAACTAAGTTCAAAATCTTTCATCATTAAAAACATTTTTTTAAAAATAAATGTACATTTCATCACTATTATTTTTTAAACACTTCACATTCCATCACTAATAAAAAATTTTTTAAAAATGCATATTTCAGAAAAATTTTAAATATTTCGACTAGAAAATTAAAGTTTCACCTGAACTAGACCAACTCCAAAACCTTCAGCTTGAAGAGCAACAGATCTGACATCAGAAGGTAACTATTGGTATGGAAAAAATATATATGAAATTCTTGAAAAAAAAAGGTAACACTAAAAAAATTTTAATAAAAAAGTAACTTACAATAACATTTTGAAGCACCATGGCATTATCAGAATTAATGCTTAATGTTTTCTGCATATCATTGAAGTTGTAAGAGATGTTAATAGATATTGAAGCTGAAGCAAGTCTGACGCCCAAAGAAGCCAAGGCTTGGATACCAACGACTGTGTCCTAAAATGAAAAAATATTTTGTAACTTAAAAATATTCCTATATATTAGTCAAAAATATAAGTCTTGTTGGCAATAATGTGATTTTAAAGTATTTCAAATACATAAAAGAAATTTTATCATACAAGTCCTTAGAGAATACAGTAATAAGCTAAATTTTTTCAAAAGTGGTCTTTTTACATAATTATTTCTAGAAAGGTAATTCAGAAGTTTCTAAAAATTGCACTAGATAACAGCACAAAATAAAGAAATATTTATTGCATAAAAGGAAATTCTGTTTTATTAAAATTGCTAATCTGAACAATGTGAAAAGGAGACATATTACATTGGCCAAAGCCTTTTAATTGTTCGATTATTCTCAGTAATAGTTTTATTCCGTCACTTGTTGTTGCAGTTACAAAATAGTATGCTAACACAATATGGATAATTTATCCGCATTATAAAACTAACTAAAAATTACTTTATTCCTAGCCTAAAGAGAATCTACATAATTTTGAATCTTTGGGGGCTAATGCAGTTTTGGATATGTGATTAATTTTACTAAGAAGCACATGTATGCTTAATTATAATATGTCTAAAAATTCTGCTTGAAAAAAAAACTAACCACATTTATTTGAAGCAGCTTTCTTCTACATCTGCATGCATTTAGAATGTTCTAATTGGAGGCTGAGTTTGAGTCCAAAAAGGCTATAAATACAAACTAATCCTTAACTCAAATGTTCTTTTCTATTAGACCTTTCCCAGGGTACATTTCAACTGAGTTACTCTCTGTGTAATGTACTAATAAGTCATTCTCCGATCCACTATCCGATGTATCCGAATACGATTCATCCTCCGATTAGTACAATGCTTGTTTTGTAGTAGTAAATATGGACTGAAGCAAATATCACACCACTGTGCTAGATATAAAACAATTTAATGCAAATGTGCAATGAAAATACTTGAGAAGTTTTAACCCAGACCTAGTTGAAGGCTACATGGCATATTAGGTATGAAGTAAATAACATTTTAGAGAAGGATAGGAAATTAGAGAAATTTTAGCATCTTCTTACAGTTGCTATTCAGAAAATTTTTAATCCAAACTTTGCCGAAGGCAACAAAGGATGATAGATATAATGTAAAAATAACACTTTTAAGACTTACCTGAGTGGAAGAATAGCCTCCATACTCATTTTGCTGGGAGATCATCCACCTAAGAATGGGTAAGGCTCCGGCAACATCTCCTCGCACAGAGTATGTCAACAAGGCATAAGCAGTCATCTCTACGTCTTGGGATTGAGGCTCATAGTAAGGCATTGAGTTGTCCTTTGGTTTTTGCCAGTGGATGGTATCAACTGAATTGAGATTAGAAAATTAAATTAATGATAAACTTTAAATGAGATATCACTACAAGAATTTTAGACAAAGCAATAATTTCAGACAATATATTAAGACAACAAAACAAACTTTGGAAAATTAGGAGCAAATGCTAACAGTAAAAACAAATATTACACCAAATTTATTTACACAATGGAAACACTAATTAAGTTACACAAAGCTTTTCTAACTACTTAAACTTGAGATAAAAGATTGTATCAAATAATAATACAATATTTAAATAATAATGTATCAAACATTTTAAAAGATCGTATTGATATTTAGGGAAGACTTAAAAAATTTCACTTTATTTTATCATACAGCTAAAATTTCTTAAATAAATGAACAGAAATAAAATAGTCATCTACAGACACTGTCTCCATAGCAATTATTACTAGCTTTAAAAAGTAGAATAATAAGTACTTTAGTTTATAAGAAGAAAATTTTCATAAATAACAAATAGGAGCAAAAAATATAACAATTTCATCATTTTCTGTTATTGTCTAAGTACTTGGTCAGTTTTGTCAAATTTTAAGATTTCCATTTCTATTTCAGATAAATTACAGGTCTCTGCATTTGGGGAGCTGAACACAAATTTAGTTTTGCTAACAAAGCTATAGTTAAATCTCTGAGCAAAGGTCCCTTGCGAGACTGAGCCTATGAGACCAGTATAACTAGGTGGCTGTTTTTCAGTGCTATCAACCAATCAATTATGTAAAAGATTAAAAAAAAGGAAAACATTAACTAAAATAATGATCTAATCGCGATCACTATTAATTTTAAGTGGCATTGATTTGAGTATTTTTTCAATAATGTAGTATAGCTTACTTTCTGGGGTTTATTTCTTTTTCACTATAGAAAACTTAAATAAAATTCATGCAGACACCCATTTGAGTAGGATAAATAAAATTCATGCAGACCCCAGATTGAGTAGGTGGAATGAAACTGTCATTCCACTTACTATGATAGATTTCTGTATGAAAGAATTCTTACAAACAATAATTGAAATGAGATATCCATTGAGTGATAATATATTAAGTAGTGACCAATTAAAATTATTGCAAACTAGAGATGAATAAATGAAAAAAAAGAGTGATTAAATTCACTTTTAATTGAAATTCATGCTTGCAGCGCGTGGCCATTGTTCAGAAAATTGCTGTTCAGAAGTTGGTCCTCAAGTAAATCTTATGAAAAAAGTTTAGTTCCATTAAAATATGTTCGGTCTTCCGAGATTGTCGTTATTTAGAGGTGATACTTAACACTAATCATACCATAACGGGTCAAAAGACCAGTTTTTGTATGTTGTATTGTATTGTATTGAAAAGTGTTGAAAAAATACCGGAAATTTAAGCAAGAAAAAAAGATGTAGGAAGATGTATCAATAAAATATTATGAATGTAAATATGAATCCCAGTGTGTGATTTTTAAATCTCTTGACTACAAAATAGTGTAAATATTGCATGTTTTTTTTTATGCATGTTATTTTTTCTATTGCATGGTTGAATCTCTGATTTTTAATTTCTGTGATTATAAAATCTCAATGCGAAACTTGAAATCACCTGAATATGTGACGTGATACATAGTTTCAAATTGCATGCAATTTTTAATTCCGTTAATACGAATCACGATGCGTAATTTAAAATCTTGTAAATGTAATTTTAAATAGTGTTTACATAAATAGGAGATAACGTAAAAAATTTAAATATTTTTCAAGAATTCGAAAAAACAGAAGTTTATTTTTTTAAAAGGAAGAATTTTACATTTTATTAATTGAAAAAACGGAAATTCTTACAAAAAGCGGGAAAAATATCATTGTGCAAAAACACTTATTTTATTACAGAAATTACCATTACATTTTAACACAAATTTAGTATTCTGCTATGCACAAACTGCTAATTGAAATAATCTCAAGAACCTTATGTCAAGTTTATGCATTAAATGAAACACCAACAGTACATAAATTAATACAAATTGATGAAAATAACACTCAAAATATTTTACCTGCATTGCTTTATGATGAATTTCTCCTGGTTCATCAAACAAACCATCAGATTTTTGCTGTTTGGACAACCATTCTAATGCAGAAGTCATTACACCATCATCAATTTCCATAAATTCTTTAGCCTGGTGGAATGATCGAACTACAAATGCTGTAAGCCTAAGGAGTTTAAAAATTTACGATAAATCAAAATGATATATTAATTTATCACCTTAAATAAATAAAGTAAAACAGCACTTTACATTTGAATGCTTAAGCTAACTACAAATCTAACGGTTCACACATTTAAAAATATTGTTTATAGCATGTTTTTTGATTCACAATTCCCACTATGTAAAATTTTTTTAAGAAACTTCAAACCTAACATCACCTCAACAGTAAAAAAAAAATTTAAATATAAAAACAATTTGATTTATGAGGTTTTTTTCTCAGTTGTATCTACTGACTGCTGGATGCACACCGCAGGAAGAGAAAAAAACATTAATTACTCTGAATAACTTTAGGTCTAATGATCGGATTTTCATGAAGGGAGAGACCACAAATATGATGATTGGTTAGTGCAGACTATATTTTAAGTTACAAAATCAAATATAAAAGCGTCTTTTCTCTGCATAAACGTACCTTTCTTTATATGGAATTGAATTTCTGATCCTGAAAGTATGGGGGTAGACTAAATATGGAAAATATGCCCCCCAATAGTTTGGTCAGGAGAGCGATTGAAAGTTTGAACCACTTAATGTTAATTTTATTTTGTGTATTTCACCATATCTTAAAAGCTTTTTAAGTTGAAAATGCACCCTATGTGCATTAGTTAATTATTATAATATAGGGTGTTTATAAATTCCCGGACCTATTTTGATGTTTAATAACTCATAAAATAATGAAGATATAAACAAACTTATGGCATTTACTGATAGAATAACTCATATATTTTCCTTTTCAGGTTTGAATATCTTTACTTTTGTAAATATAGTCTGCGTGTGTGGTTAATTTCAGATAATTTCATTTTCCAGTCTAAATATCTGTTCTTTTCTAAATATCATCTGCTTTTCAATTGCATTTTTCTCTCTTTTGTTTTTGGCAACTATTGCAATGTTACGTTTACTTTTGATGTGTTTGTTCTATGTAGTACTTTTCTATGCGATTTTTTATTCGAGCGGATATTAAGGAGAATGCATACACCACAAAAAAGAAAGCACAGATTTTATGGTGGTTCATAGAAACGAAATCGATAGTGCAAGCACAGAGATATTGCAGAAGAATTTACCAAAAAGATCCTCCATCCAAAAGCAGCATCTGTTACAGGAGGATCTTGTTGAACATTGATGACCTAAAAGCTAGAATTACAGCTGCAATAGCCTCTGTGGATGTCGGCATGCTTGCCGCTACCTGGCGTGAAATTGACTATCCACTTGATATTCTCGGTGCGACGAAGGGGGCACACGTGGAAGTTCATTGACAAGGGTCATGAAACTTTTTGAGTCTATCTAACCATTTATGTTATTAATTTTAATCTATCTTTATTATTTTATGAGTTATTAAACATCAAAATGGGTCTGGGACTTTATAAACACCCTGTAAATTTTTAATAATCATGGGTATATTATTACTCAGATTTCTTTTAAAAATTAAGATTTTGCTAAATTATAACTCACCATGTACTTCCATTTTTGTCATTATTTCCAAAAGCACTGAAAGAACCATCATTTCTTCTGTATGTCAACTCTCTTTGGTAACCTGTAAGTGTAATGTTTGGATAAAGATAACTTATATTTTTTCAGTGTTTTAAAAATGAAATTAAAAGTTAGTATAATACATACCACTTTCCATAAAATTCAGAGATTTCTTCTGTATTGTAGGAGTCAGTCTGTTAACTCGTTTTAAGTATTTAGTAATAACAATGTTTCATACAAAATTCAGCATATTTTGCTCACCACAGCCTTGAGGCATTCTAAGCAGTTTATCTAAATTATTAACAGTAGGACCTAACAAATCTCCTGTAACATAAAAATAATTATAATGTATAAATATCACTATATTAATTAAAATTTTATGCCACTTAATTTGTTACACAATCAAACTATTCAAGCTACTGTTAAATTACCCCAGACTAAGTTTGGAAAGCAATAATAAAGTTCCCAATAAATCCAACCATCAAACCATCTCAAATAAATGTAAAATCTTTTTATCCAGAATATTAAAAATAATCAGAATACAGAAAATTTTATTAAAAGTTTTAATTTAAATACATTACACTAAGATTACTATAGTTAGTTCTTCTTTTAACATTATATCTTCACATTATATAACCACTGGTTATCATTATATTAAAATATCTTGCTATTTAATTCAAAATTTAAAAAAGTTAATTACAAACCAATTTTACACAAATGTTACTTGAAAAATGCTTTTAGTTTTAATATTAAATATATTCTCTTAAATTTTGAACAGTAAAAAAATAATCTGTATTATAAATCTCTGCTTTTTTTTACGATGTTCAAAAGCAAACTTAAAATTGGAAAAAGATAGAAAAATTAAAACAAAAAATGTTTCATAAAAGATAAAATCTATGTGGTTAATTTAAAATTAAAAGTTTCTCAAGTTTTATTCTACAAAAAATATGCCCCCATTAAAAATTCTGCATATTTTTGAATATCGTTATAGGAAAAGTAATATTGGTTTCAATCAAAACAAAATGCTTTTGTCTTTGAAGATGTTACAATAAAAAACACCACAAATGAAGAAACATTAAATAGTCAGGAACAATACAGTATTTACTACTGAAACACTTTGAACTTATTAAAATTATAAGCATATACAGGGATGAGAGTAGTCAGAAAGTAAAAAAGAGGAAATCCAAGAAAAAAGAAAAATAAAAATATAT